CACCGTCAAGTCGCACTGAATCTACGATAGACCTCTAAATCCCAAACCCAAATATCTCGAAGTTCTACGCCCTAAACTCCTAGCCCAGAAGCCCTAAAGCCTAAACCCTAAACCCAGTAGCCCTAAACCCTATGAACCCTAAACCCTATAACCCTAAACCCTCAACCCTAAACCCTAAACCTAAACCCTAAACCGGACAGGCAAAGGCCTCCATGAAGAAGGCAGCCACCTTCTACGAGGCGCGGGGCCATGTGGAGTCGAACTTAAAGCCTGCAAGCCGTTTTGGGTTCCCCTAAACCCAAAACCCAGTAGCCCTAAACCCTAAACCCTAAACTCAGTAGCCCTAAGCCCTAAACCCGAAATCCAGTAGCGCTAAACCCTAAACCCTTGAATTCAGGCTCTGAATAGGGCTTTTAAAGCCAAGCGTTTAGTTGTTTTTTCTTTTTGCCCTGGAGCTCGTTGCCTATGTGGGGACGACGAATGAAGCCTCAATTGGGATCATGTGAATTGGGATCATGACATGCCTTGTGACGCACCGTAAGCCCGAAACCCTAGAAACCCTAGAAACCCTAGAAACCCTAGAAACCCTAGAAACCCTAGAAACCCTAAACCCTAAACCCTGATCCATGTAGATTAGGGCATGTCCCAAAACAGGGCCTCCCCTTTTATGCCCACAAATAGAGTCCCTTGATTATACCCTTTTGGATACCCTTTTTGGGGTTCCTTTAAAGGGACTATGTAGTATCTTGGGCTATGGGGGGTACCCCTAGGTTCGTAAACCCCCATATGGCTGCAAACTTCACGAGGTCCCTTAAAGACAGCCATGTAGCTACCCCAAAACCCAAAACCCCAAACCCCAAACCCCAAACCCTAAACCCTAAACCCTAAACCCCAAGCCCGAAGAACCGGGATCACCTGCTTTTTGGGAAATGCCCATTTGGTATGTCCCAAAATAGGGGTACCCCTTTTATACCCCAAATAGAGTAGAGTCGCCTTCAAGGGACCCCCGACACCCCAAAAGGGTACCCTAAACCTAAACCCCAAAAGGGGGAACCTAATGTTGCAACTCGGTGGCGGGGGGGGGGGGGGGGGGGCGAGGTTCTCGCAGATGAGACTCCGCAGGGTTTAGGGGTTAGGGTTTAGAGTTTAGGGTTTAGGGTTTGATTGGCAGTGTCGGGCTCTGGGCTTAGGATTTCTGTTGGCGTCAGGGTTCTGGGATTAGAGTTTAAGTCGCTAAGCACCACACTCCTCGTCCGCCATCCTGGCGCGAGCCCTAAGTTCCTAAACCCTTTCATCCCAAACCCTATAGTTTGGGATTTAGGGTTTGGGGGTCAGGGCTTAAGGTGGAGGGTTTCCAAACGCCCAATCAAAATGCGTCAGCGTGAAAACTACGGCTCCAATCCAAGCTCTCTCAGGAGAAGCCGGAGGTGTGCTTCTACACCGGACAGGCCGGGGGGCTGGGGTGCCATTGCTTCATGAGGGTTTAGGGTTTACGGTTTAGGGTTTAGGGTTACAATATCGGACTGTGCGTAGTTCCTTACACCCCCCGTCTCTGCCCCTTGATTGATGGACCCAAACCACACGGCCTTGTAGCCTGTTGATCAGGGCTTGTGGGTGATGATTCTGGGTGTGTATGAGGCTCTCAAACCGACAAGAAGTACAAGACTGTGACCTCTAAGCCTCTTGCACCCTTCCCAACCCCCAAACCTCAGCCCTGCGTGTCAAGCGCCTGTCAAGCGCCTATATAACATTAGCCACCAAACCCTAAACACCAGTCCCTAAACCCTAAACCCTGAACCCTAAACCCTAAACCCTAAACCCTAAACCCTAAACCCTAAACCCTAAACCCTAAACCCTAAACCCTAAACCCTAAACCCTAAACCCTAAACCCTAAACCCTAAACCTAAACCCTAACCCCCCCCCCCCCCCCCCCCCCCCCCCCCCCCCCCCCAAACAAAAAAAATAAAAAACGAAAGCGGAGGAGCTGCTGGGGATGCTCAGCATCAGCGTCCGCGTCGAAGTTGCCTCCGACCCTCGGTCACGAAATCTTGGATCTCTAAGGGTTTAGGGTTTAGGGGTTTAGGGTTTAGGGTTTAGGGGTTTAGGGTTTAGGGTTTAGGGTTTAGGGGTTTGGGGGTTTGGGGGTTTGGGGGTTTGGGGGTTTGGGGGTTTAGGGGTTTAGGGGTTTGGGGGTTTAAGGGTTTAGGGGTTTAGGGGTTTGGGGGTTTCGGGGTTTGGGGGTTTAGGGGGTTTAGGGGTTTAGGGGTTTGGGGGGTTTTAGGGGTTTAGGGGCTTAGGGGTTTTAGGAGTTTAGGGGTTTAGGGGTTTAGGGGTTTAGGGTTAAAACCCTTAACCCTTACTTGGAGGTTCATGGGTACTTATAGCCCTAATCATAAGTCTACTTATGACCTACTTAGAGGACTTCGGGGCGTATAGGTACAGTTATACCTGGGCTTGTAAGTACCCTGAACCTCCAAGTAACCCTTAGCTACTACGGCTATCAACCGTTTGGAGTGCCAAACCCTAAACCCTAAACGCTAAACCCTAAACCCTAAACCCTTAATCCTAAACCCTATAGACCCAGCTCTTGAGGTTGACATAGGCATGGATGAGGCAATGGGGTTAAAAGGGCTCAAGGGTTCAAGATTGCAACCCTACACCGTATAAACCCTCAACCCTAAGCCAATAGCTAAACTTTAAACTTGTTGGGTCTAAACCCTGAAGCCTAAATCCTAAACCCAGAAAGAAGAGTTTGAGGTCTACAGGGTTCCCGAGCATTCCCCTGCCGTCCTGATGCATGATTTAGGGTCGAATTAGGGTTTACGGTGACATTATGCTGTCATGGAAGCATCGAGAGGGCACTGGTTCAGTGGCCCATCGGTTGCTTTGTTTTTGCTTTCGGCTGCAATGTCTCTTGCGATCGAGGTGAGCTTGCTAAGTGGCCGCTCAGTTGTACTCGAAGCAGACAAGGATGAGCGATTAGAAACCTTCTCACGCAGAGCGCAGAAGGCTCTATCAGTTGGTCGGGGAAGGCTCTTGGACTCCTCGGGAGGCATCCTTGAGGGAGCAGCCACGCTGGAGGAGTCCAGGTTGCAGAGCGGCGATACGGTGACCTTGCACATGCGCAAGGTCTGCGTTTGCAAGAATCACGGTGCTTTTGCTGCCATTCTCGGCGACGGTTCTGTTGATACCTGCGGCAGTGCTTTCCGTGGTGGCGACAGCAGTTCTGTGCAAGGTGAGCTGAAGGATGTGCGGCAGATCCAAGCATCTGAGTATGCTTTTGCTGCAATTCTGGGTGATGGGTCTGTTGTGACCTGGGGTGACGCTGACGACGGCGGCGACAGCAGTGCTGTGCAACATCAGCTGAAGGGCGTGCAGCACATCCAAGCATCGGCGTCCGCGTTCGCTGCCATTCTTGGCGATGGGTCTGTTGTGGCCTGGGGCCAGCCTGACTATGGTGGCAACAGAAGTGCTGTGCAACATCAGCTGAAGGACGTGCGGCAGATCCAAGCATCTGAGCAGGCTTTTGCAGCCATTCTGGGCGATGGGTCTGTTGTGACCTGGGGTGATCCCAACGATGGTGGCGACAGCAGAGTAGTGCAGGATCAGCTGAAGAATGTGCAGCAGATCCAAGCATCGAGCCGCGCTTTCGCTGCCATTCTTGGCGATGGCTCTGTTGTGACCTGGGGCGATACCGGCTTTGGTGGTGACAGCCGTACTGTGCAAGGTCGGCTGAAGGACGTGCAGGAGATGCAAGCTTCTGAGGGCGCTTTCGCTGCCAGTCTGGGCGATGGGTCTGTTGTGACCTGGGGCGATGATGATTGTGGTGGCGATAGCAGTGCAGTGCAACATCAGCTGAAGGACGTGCAGCAAATTCAAGCTTCTAAGCACGCCTTCGCTGCCATTCTGGGTGATGGGTCTGTTGTGACCTGGGGCAACGCTGAGAACGGCGGCGACAGCAGAACTGTGCAAGGTCGGCTGAAGGGCGTGCAGCACATCCAAGCATCTGCACAGGCTTTCGCTGCCATTCTTGGCGATGGGTCTGTTGTGACCTGGGGCGATCCTGACTATGGTGGCGACAGCAGTGCTGTGCAACATCACCTGAGGGATGTACGCCAGATCCAAGCAGCTGCCTGGGCTTTCGCTGCCATTCTAGGCGATGGGTCCGTTGTGACCTGGGGCAATGCTGCTTGGGGTGGCGACAGCAGAGCAGTACAACATCAGCTAAAAGATGTGGAGCACATCCAAGCTTGTCAGGGCGCTTTGGGCGCTTTCGCTGCGATTCTAGGCGATGGGTCTGTTGTGACCTGGGGCAAGGTGAGTTGAGCATCTTACCGCGCTTTGGCGTGCTGCCATTTAGGCTGACGGGTCTGTTGTGGGGCGACTCTAAAGACTGCGGCGACGGCAGTGCTGTGCAACATCAGCTGAAGACGTGCAAGAAGATCCAAACATCTTGCCGCGCTTTTGCTGCCATTTTGTGTGATGGTCTGTTGTGACCTGGGGTGATGCCCGCTTTTGTATGCTTTTGTGGTGACAGCAGTACTGTGCAAGGTCAGCTGAAGGACATGGGCGCTTTCGCTGCCATTCTGGGTGATGGGTCTGTTGTGACCTGGGGTGACGCTGACGACGGCGGCGACAGCAGTGCTGTGCAACATCAGCTGAAGGGCGTGCAGCACATCCAAGCATCGGCGTCCGCTTTCGCTGCCATTCTTGGCGATGGGTCTGTTGTGGCCTGGGGCCAGCCTGACTATGGTGGCGACAGCAGTGCTGTGCAACATCAGCTGAAGGACCGAGTCCAAGCTTCTGCGGGCGCTTTCGCTGCCACTCTGGGCGACGAGTCCGCTATGTTCTGGGGACATGGCCGCCCCAGGGCTTTGCTGCCGCTGTTTGAAGATGAGGCCTCCAGATCAGGCCGAATCCTCCTCGGAGGCTGATGGCGTTTGATGAGCCTCATACCAGATACCAGTGCTGATTCTACCTTCTTCAAAGCACTGCTTAGCATGACTCGCCCGTATCCGGTCCCGCCCTATCTTAGAGCTGAGTATTTACCCGTTAACCTTTTGGTGTGTGTATATATATATATATATTCCTACCATATTGAAAGGTTAGCTTTTATTGGCCCAGGGAACTCAGCAACTAAGCTATTTAGGTCGGGCGACAGAGCAGGTGCCAGTGCGTACAGGTAGCCTTCAGTCGAGCCCATGCCATCCTTGTCGGATTTCCAGGCTCTCCAAGTACCCCGAAACCCGAAACCCGAACCTTAAATTCAACCCTCAACCCTAAACCCGAAACCCTCAACCCTCAACCCACAACCTTAAACCCTCAACCCTCAACCCTAAACCCTCAAACCTCAACCCTAAACCGTGCCTTCATGCGTGTATTCAGTGGCATCTTCCAGGGCACTTAACAGCCCAGAGACTCCAAAACCCCTTAATTAAGGAATATACATTAAATCATATTAGGGTCCCTAAACCCTAAACCCTAAACCCTAGACCCGGAACCCTAAACCCTAAACCCTAAACCCCTTAATTAAGGGGTTTTGGAGTCTCTGGGAGGGGTGGTGGGAGGAGGCCAGCAGCCCCTCTCAGCCTCGGACGTTCCTGATTGGGTTTAGTGTTTAAGGTTTAGGGTTCAGGGTTTAGGGTTTAGGGTTTAGGGTTTAGGGTTTAGGGTTTAGGGCAAACCTCAGCCCCAAACGCAACAATCGGAATACCCAGGCTGCGGAGACGGCCCCAGTGGAAGCTGCGGACGTTTTGGTGCCCCCGGAGTCCTCGCCCATGCAGGAGCGTGCGTCGTGTCAAGACCATTTATAGGGTTTAGGGTTGTTATGGTTTGGGGTTTAGGGTTTGGGTTTTGGGGTTCAGGGTTTAGGTTTTTTGGGGGATTTTGGGGGTTTTGGGTTAGGGTTTTGGGGTTTCGGGCGTTAGGGTTTAGGGTTTTGGGTTTGGGGTTTTGGGGTTTTGGGTTTTGGGGTTTTGGGGTTCAGGGTTCTTCCATATGCAAATTAGAGGTTATGGCTTTTTTCACTCTCGTTTAAAGACAGCGCTCCGCGCCTGATCTGCATATCTGGAGAATTGGGGGGGGATTATGGATTTTGGCATTTTGGGGTTTCGGGTTTAGGATTTAGGGTTTAGGGTTTAGGGTGCCTAGATGGCGCAAAAGATCCCGCAGTCCTAGGACACTGCTTGGCGCACTCAAAACACGCAATCCCCAAAACCTTGCTAACCGCGAATCTCAAATAAACCTATAAACTTAGCCATAAACCAAGCCCAAGCCCAAGCCCAAGCCCAAGCCCAAGCCCAAGCCCAAGCCCAAGCCCAAGCCCAAGCCCAAGCCCAAGCCCAAGCCCAAGCCCAAGCCCAAGCCCAAGCCCAAGCCCAAGCCCAAGCCCAAGCCCAAGCCCAGCCCTGTAAACCCTAAACCAAAAAGCCTCTCCTATGTCTGGAGCCGAGGATGTTGCCGCTGAAGCACCTGCTGCGCCAGATCTTCTCCTACCAAATGCAGCTGGGCTTAGGGCTGAGGGCTTATAAGGGCTTTAGTGCTTTAGGGCTTAGGGCTTTAGGGCTTGAGGGCTTTAGGGCCTTAGGGCCTTAGGGCTTTAAATCTTTAGGGCTTTAGGCTTATATAGGGCTTAGGCTCAGGGTTCGGGGTTTATAGGGTTTAGGGTTTAGGATGGGTTGTTGGAATCAAGGTCGTCGCTGCCTGAAGCCCCAGCCTCTAAGACCTGATTTCCCGTTTAGGATTAGGGTTTAGGGTTTAGGGTTTAGGGTTACCGTAACCCCTATAAACCGGTGCTCAAAGTTGGCGTCAGCCCAGGTTTGGGGTTTAGGGGTTGGGGGTTTGTGGTTGTGGCCCTAAACCCTAAACCCTAAACCCTAAACCCTAAACCCTAAACCCTAAACCCTAAACCCTAAACCCTAAACCGGTGTTGAAGAGTTTAGGGCTTCGGGGGCTTAGAGTTCGAGTTTTGTGGTTCGGGGTTGCTTCATGACGGGCGCTAGTGGGGCAGCCGCCGGAAGCTAAACCCTCAACTCTACTTAACCCTAAAGCCTTAAACCCAAAATCACCCTAAACCCCAAACCCTAAACCCTAAACGCTGAACCCTAAACCCTAAACCCTAAACCCTAAACCCTAAACCCGAGCTAGATGGACCCCGTATCATTGCAGGTGTCTGAGAAGGGGTCCTAAGTTTCTGACAGCCCACCTCAGTCCTAAGCCCTATTAGAAGCCCTGAAGCTCTGAACTCCTGAGCCCGAAACCCTAAACACTGAAACCCTAAACCCTAGCCCTAAACCCTAAACCCTGAACCTTAAACCCTAAACCCTGACAACCACTCCCCAAAATACGCCGCAGCAAGGCCGTCATCGCCATCCGGCCAGGTGGTTCCCCACGCCCTGCCAGCAAGAGTGACAGGCACTGACCAAATGGGTTCAGCAAGTTAGGGTTCAGGGCTGAGGGTCTGTGTTTTTGTTGGGTTGCGGGCTTAGGGTTTACTGTTTGGGGTTTGGGGGGGCGTTGTTTTGTGTTGTGAGGGTGGTGGCCGAGTAGTTCTTCAGTGATTAGGGCTCTAGGCTGTTGCCAAGAGCTGCCCAGGAGAGGTTTAATGGTTTAGGGTTTGGGTTTTAGGGCATAGGGTACGTGTATCCGCTCTCTACACTCGTCAGCCCCTAAACCCGAAACCCGAAAGCCCTAAACCCCGAATGAAGCAATCGCCCCCTAAACCCTAAACCCTAACCCTGAACCCCTGAACCCCTGAACGCCCGAACTCCTGAACCCCTGAACCCTAAACCCCAAACCCCAAACCCTAAACCTGACCCCTAAAGCCTAAAGCCTGAAGTGCAAAGCCTCCGCCGCAACATTGGAAGCCCCCACATGGAGCCAGGATGGTGGAAACCAAAGCCCTGGTGGACCGTGCCTTTGACCGGTTTAGGGTTTAGGGTTTAGGGTTTAGGGTTTAGGGTTTCAGTTTCAGGGTCATATCTTGGTGTTTCACAAACAGTTCCCACGATTTTTGGTGTGCTTATTTGTATGCTTCTATTCTTATCTTGCGCAATATTGCATAGTATATGTATATGTTAAACCCTAAACCCTAAACCCCCTGGACCCCTAAACCCCTAAACCCCTTAACCCCTTAACCCCTTACCCCTTACCCCGAAGCCAAGGCATGCTGGAGCTGAGAAAGTCCCACGGCTCCATGCCCGAATGGCCAGGTGTTGAGTTTCAGCCGTAGGGTCCAGATGCAGAAGCAGGGTTTAGGGTTTAGGGTTTAGGGTTTAGGGTTTAGGGTTTAGGGTTTAGGGTTTAGGATTTAGGGTTTAGAGTGCACTTGTGTGTCAAGGTAGATCCTATAAAGCGGCAGCTCATAAATTCCTGAGCCCTCAAAGCATCTGAACTTCCAGCGCCAAGAGCGACGACCGCACCCTTAAACCCATAAACCCTAAACCCTAAGCCCTAAACCCTAAACCCTAAACCCTAAACCCTACACCCATCCGCTGTGAGTCGATGTAGGAGGTAGACCCTCCTTAACGGTTCCTTGGGGACCTCATGAGCCCTAGACTTGGGGTCACGGTACCCTATACTACTACATTTGGGTGGGGTTTAGGGTTTAGGGTTTAGGGCTTAGGGCTTAGGGCTTAGGGCTTAGGGGTCATATATCCCATACCTCCATAATACCTAGTAAGGCATGTGAGCCACAACCCCTTTGGGGTTCTTTTAGTCCGCCAGGTTCCCAACAATGTCCCAATGGTCGTAACAGGTACTTACTGACCGACACTCCGTGGGGCAACAATTATTTGCTTAAGAACCCCCCCTCCCCCCCCCCCCCCACAAAAAAAGAAGTAATCCCAAAATTGCCCTTGTAAGAAAGTTGTTTTTTTTTTTTTTTTTTTTCGTGGGGGGGGGGTGCTTAAGCAATTAGTAGGGGTTACGCCGATACGTGGTGCTTCTAGTCTGCCAGACGTGTCGCGAATGGCCGGTTTAGTGATCGTCGAGTTACTCAAAACCACCCCTCAACCCTAAACCCTAAAACCATAGCCCTAAACCCGTAACTAAACCCAAGGTGTGGCGTAGCGGGACGCTGGCGCTTTGGGGCTTCGGCCTAGCGTTTAGGTTCCTTAAACCCTAAACCCTAAACCTAAACCCTAAACCCTAAACCCCTTTGAGGGTCTCACGTTGGCAGCTGCGAGGTCTTGATCTGTGGATGGAGGTCTTCGAGGTCTTCGACCTGGTCCAGGACGTGGACCTCAAATTCCTGGAGAGCAAGAAGAGTGACTCGCCCGCAATATGGGGGGGGGGGGTTCGGTTTAGGGTTTAGGGTTTAGGGTTTGGGTTCAGGGTTTGCGGAGGGTTCAGGGTATCCGAAATTAGGGGTACCTTATTGGGGTCCGAGAAATTACATGGGGATCCTACTATTTGGGGGTCTGTATGAGGGGTCCCTTATTATCGTAGACCCCCATATACACGTGCATGTGGCTCATTGCTTTCTTTGCTGTTCTGTACCGTACCTGTTTCTTTGCTACAAAGTGCATGTACGGGGCTTAAAGTTCTTAAGCCTAGTCGCCAGCAACAGTAAGAAGCCCCGTAGTCTTAAGACCTCAAACCCTCAAACCCTCAAACCCTCAAACCCTCAAACCCTCAAACCCTCAAACCCTCAAACCCTCAAACCCTCAAACTCTCAAACTCTCAAACTCTCAAACTCTCAAACCCTAAACCCCAAGCCTCAAATCCTGCTTCTGTTACCGCAATTCCAACCTAGAGCCCCTTTTGGGGAGCTTGTTTTTGATGGGGGTCCTCAACCAAGAGCAGCCCCGATATTAGGTTTCTTAAGGGCGGTTCCTAAATTTGCGGAACCTTTCCCGGTTTTTTTTTTTTTTGGGGGGGGGGGAGGTGGGAGGGGGGGAGTTGGGAGGGGCGGGCGTGTGGGGGGAGGGGGAACGGGGGGGGAGGGGGAGTGGTTGCGCTTCTGCTGTGTTAAGTTGAGGGCCTTTTGTGTTCAAAGTTCAAAGCCCCCACGAAAGATTCCTGAACCCCTAAATTCTCCTCTGCCCTTCGCCTTTGATCCCAAGGAGCCATCGCCCTGCGCTTGCATCCGGACAAAGTCGATGACCAGATCCTTGGGAAGTCCACATACCCCCAAACTCTGAACCCGGAACTCGAACTGGGGTTTAGGGTTTGTAGGGTTGAGGGTTTTTCTTAGGGTTTCTGGGTTTAGGGTTCCTAAACCCTTAACTCTTTACTCTAAGCCTTGTAATCAATCCTGGCGAAGGCATGCTAGAGCTGCTAGGTTTAGGGGTCCTGCTTGTCCGGGGTACATGTTCGGCTATCTAAGCTTTTCCTTTTTTTGGGGCGGTTTCGCCTTAAAACCTTGAACCCTAAACGCCTGAGCGGTTAGGGTTTAGCGCCTACTGGGTTCGAAGAGGATGTTCGCTGGCTTGGGGGTTTCTATGAAAAAGCGAAATCGATTCCGCATGTTGAGGAGCCCAATGGGCGGGTGGGTATGTCACCTGCACTTGAAGCTGCTTGACTAGTCAGCGCATGCTGCGACTTGAGAGATGCTGAACCCTAAACCCTAAACCCTAAACCCGAAACCCTAAACCCTAAACCCTAAACCCTAAACCCTAAACCCTAAACCCTAAACCCTAAACGCTATGGTTAACAAAGTACCCCTTTTTAACATCCCGAGGATGGCCAAGTACTGCGGTGGCCGTGACCGCGTCTACGAAGCCTACTACTTCCTTGACGAGGCGGGGGGGTCAGGCGAAGGAGTAGGGTTTAGGGTTTAGGGTTTAGGGTTCAGGGTTTAGGGTTTAGGGTCAGGTGAAGGTTGAGTAATATAGGGGCCTGAATGATTAGTATGGGGTTTTGGGGGTCATTAGAGTTTCAATATACAGGGACCCTAAGGGAATAAGATTAGTAATTATTTCGAGCCCTATAGTAGGCTTAAGGGTTTCGAGTTTAGGGTTTGTGGTTTGGGATTTAGGTTTTGGGGACGCAAAGAGTCGGGCCTCAGGGTGTAGGGTTTAGTTTAGTGGATGAGCGAACCCTAAACCTTACTTCTCTGCGAGCGATGTGAAGGCTCCCGACATTAGGGGTTTAGGGGTTGAGGTTAAATAGGGGCGGATCTAGAGTTTTTATAATTGTTTTTAATGTTTTTAAAGTTTAGGTCTGAGAAAAGCTAAAGCCAGCCTTTCCAGGACCCTTCAAGGCCCCTTCAAAGCCGTAAACTCTAAGCTTGTAAGGGTCCCCTGAACCTTCAAGCCCCCCAGCACCCTGAGCACCTTAAGAAAACCCCACGCCACCCTAAAACACCCGAATCCCTAAACCCTAAACCCCTACCCTAAACCCTAAACCCTAAACCCTAAACCCTAAACCCTTACAGCGCCCCCCCAAAACCCGAAAAGCCGGGCTGCAGAGGCATTCGACCAAGCCAAGGCGTGGCTGAAGGAGCACGGCCAGGGCAACACGTAGAAGCCGGGACAGCCACTTGGCCCCGTGTGAGGGGGGAACATCCCAAGTTAAAGGGGAAAAACATCCTGAAACGATCCTGACCCTACAGAACCTTCCCCCAATACTCTGTTCAAATACCTGCAAGCCCTAAAACCTAAGCCCCTAAAACCCTAGGCACTCTAAACCCTAAACCCCTCAGCCGCAAACTCCTCTGCCATGAGGTGCTGCGAGGCTTCTCGCATTCGGGTGCCTCGTCGCGCAACCAGAGCTACAGTGTGCTGACAGATGTAGATCCTATATATATGTATGTACATATACATATATATGTACATATATAGATGTATATAGTAGAATCTATAATGTAAGAGAGATGTCGCACATGGCAATAGGCCCGCTGGTGGTTCATCAAGCGTCTGCCCCGTGGAGCAGAAGGAGCCAAAGCACATGCGCCTTCCGCAATTCTTGATTTTAACCCTAAACCCTAAACCCTGAACCCTAAACCCTAAACCCTAAGCCCTAAACCCTAAGCCCTAAACCCCAATCCTCAGAAACCCCAAAGCCAAGAAACGCTAAACTCACAAGCCCCGTCCTTCTTTACGTGAGCGAGGTCCCCAAGGGACCCGCAAGGATTTAGTTGGAGGCCCTCTCCAAGGAGTCTGTTAGCCTTAAACCTACTCACTCAAGTGCTGAGTAGATAGGCTGCGGTTTAGGGTTTAGGGTTTAGGGTTTCGAGTAGTATACGCCCCCTTGAGGCTGAACTCCAACTCCAGAAGGGTTGGAGCCTGCAACGTCAACTCTCTATAGCCACTCCTAGTCACAACGAAGCTCTCCGCTCCGTAAGCCCAAAGATCTCTCCTTCTAAGGGTTTAGAGTTTCAGACTTTTCGCTTTAGGGCCTCAAGGGGATCTGGGGTTTATAAATCTAAGGGTAGTTACATTGGCCCTTAATATGGTCCTTAAAATTCTTTGAAAGGGTTCTGATGTATGGGCCCTTAATTTGTATTGGGTATATAAGGGGTATAGAAGGGGTACTCTTTGAAGGGCCCGTCCAAGGGACCATGTAACTACATACCCTTAGAATAAGCATTGGGACTTGGCGGTCCCAACCAGAAGCATGGAGGGAGCAGTGGCGAGAGCCTCCAGTTTAAGACGCCCAAAATCTTTTTAAAGTGCCTCAGGGCCCATGTGGGGTTTGATCTAAACAGGTGCCTTTATATGGTTCTGAGATATACTACGGAGTCCTATATAATATATATATATATATACATACGTACACGGAGTATGCACCTTGAAGGCATCGCACATCCCGAAGCCCCAAACTCTAAATCCCTCACCCGCGCACCCAAGTACAGACGATTTCGGGCAGAGGCCCTTGGGGATGTTCAGTATCTCACCTTGTGGCTCCCTAAGCCCTATGTGAACCCTAAACCCCAAGCACTACGCCCTCAACCCGAAGCCCTAAACCCCAAACCCTAAACCCTAAACCCTAAACCCCAAACCCCAAACCCTAAAACCTCGGAATATCTTCAGAGGGTTTCATGGGCCCTTAGGCCCTTATGTCAAGGAATCTCAGGCGGGACCCTGCGGTAGTTTTGGGACCCATGTAGGGTCGCTACAGTGGGGTTTAGGGTTTAGGGTTTTGGGTCTTGGGTTTTGGGGAGGTTGTGTAGGATCCTAGGATTGAGGCTCACCTTCGGTGGGTCCCTCCTGCAAATCCCTGACTTTGGGAGCGTTTTTGTCCTGAGCAGTGCGGAAGGGGAAGAGGTTTAGGGTTTAGGGCTTAGGGCGGCTTCGGGCGTTTTATCTGTGTTTCGCAATTCACGACCACCGGATAAGACTTCGTAGACGATTGTACCCTCCTTTTTGCACTTTTCCAAGTACTTTCGTGCCCCTGTACGCCGGGTCCTCCCAAGCCTGGATAACTTTCGAGGAACCCCTCTAATTTGCACCTATTCTTTTCTCCCGTACTCTTAATATTAGCAAGCTTATGCGGCATGGGCAGAGCACGGCAAAAAACACCGCTCGAGCTGTATTCCCTCCACCATGCACACCCGAAGCCCTGAACCCCCTCACCCGAAACCGCATGCATGCGAAGCAGAGCTTTGAGGGACTTTGATGCGGCGCTGCATCTGAAAAGACAGATCCGAGCATCGGATGTTTTTTTTTGTCGGTTTTTGTGTGGAGGGTCTATAGGGTTTATGGGGTATATTCCATGTTGCTGGCTCGAACCTTGGACATACTCAAATAAGCCCTAAGTTCCTCAACGCCTAAAGCCCAGAACAGGTTTAGGGTTTAGGGTTTGAGGTTTAGGGTTTAAGACTTAGGGTTTAGGGTTTAAGGTTTAGGGTTTAGGGTTGAAGGTGCAGGGTTGAGGGTTTAAACCCTTCAGAAGGCCCAGTGGGCTTCTGGCCCTTCCTGCAGCTGGCGCTTTACCCTTTGTGTTTAGGGTTTAGGGTTTAGCGTTTAGGGTTTAGGGCTTAGGGTTTAGGGTTTAGGGCTACCATGAACCCTAAGGGTCCATGTATCTAAATATGGAAGACTTGGGCCTCAAAGTACTTCCTATATAGGGACTCTGGGGCCAAAGTATGTAATAATAAGGTACATGGACCCTTAGGGCTACAACTGAACACCTATAGACACTTTCCCTATACCTCCACTCCACGGAAGACTTCAACAAAACCCCAAACCCCGAACTGAAGTCACCCTAAACCCTAAACCCTCTAAACCCTCTAAACCCGCTAAACCCTCTAAACCCTCTAAACCTCCTAAACCCCCTAAACCCCCTAAACCCCCTAAACCCTCCAAACCCTCTAAACCCTCTAAACCCTCTAAACCTCTAAACTAAACCAGCCCCAAACCCCCGAAAAACCTCGGGAGATGGCCCTTGTGGTGGCAGGGTCCGCGAACGGGAGCTCGCCGAGAATGAGCGGCGTGCCGAGGTCTGTCCGTCTCGGTTTAGGGTTTTAGGGTTTAGGGTTTAGGGTTTAGGGTTTAGGGTTTAGGGTTTAGGGTTTTGGGTTTACTGTTGACTGTTTACTGTTTACTGTTTACTGTCTAGCGTTAAGGCTTTGAAGATGGGCTTTGGGTTTTTTTTTGGGTTTTATTGTGAAGGGTGTAGGTTTAGGCGTCTGTCTGTTTTTTTGTGTTAAACGTATGTGTATGTATATATATATATATGTGCACATATGCATATATACATAGATCGATTAATAAATACATAAAATAACAAATAAATAGATACATTACATATATACATATATATATGTATGTGTGCGTGTCATAACCTTGTAATTTTCTCTCACGCGCACATGTGTTGTTGTTGTTCTGGGGGGGGGGGGGAGGCATTGAAGAAAAGACGGAGAAGGGCTTAAGCATTTTGAGGAGTTTCATGGCTTCAGAGTTTAGGGATGCCGTTACCTGGGTCCCAGTTTCCCATGCGTTCGGGGGTTAGATGCGACTAGATGGGGTTCAGCACCCTAAACTCTGCTGAAACCCCTAAGTTCCGAGCCGAGCACCCCTGAATATTCCGAGCCGAGCACCCCTGAAACCCTCTAAGCCCTAAACCTAAACTCTACACCCTACACCTTACACCCTAAACCCTTAACCCTAAGCCCAAGATGCGGAGCCAGGAGAGAAGGCGCCAGATCGAGGCTGCTGCTCACATCAGCTACTTTTTGTTTAAGAACCCCAAAAGAAGTTTAAAAGATAGTAATCCTATACTACCCTTACTAGGAGGAGTATCCTTCTTCATTTCTTTACGGGGTTCTTACGCAATCAGTAGTCAGGGCTTTAGGGTTTAGGGCTACGCAAGCAGGGCTTGGGGTTTAGGGTTTGCGGTTTGGGGTTTGGGGTTTAGGGTTTAGGGTTTGGGGGTTAAGGTTTAGGTTTTAGGTTTTAGGGTTTAGGATTTAGGGTTACGGAAGCAGGGCTTGGGGTTTTGGGTTTGGGGTGTAGGGCTTGGGGCTTGGGGCTTAGGGCTTAGGGTTTAGGGTTTAGGGGTTAGTGTCTTTCATTTCGGGATATTCCCCTTGATACAAACGGTCCTTGATTGGGAGTATAATAGTGGTGGGTGCTAGAATCCCTATAAGCGGGGAACATCCCAAGTTTTACTGCTTCCCTTCAAAGACAGGGGTTGTTCCTTTTTTTCTTCGTTTTTTCGGTCTAGGGCTTGGGGCTGGGAGCTTTAGGTCTCAGGGCTTTGGGTTTAGGGTTAGTTTGGGTTTAGGATTCAGTTGGAAGACACCGCAGCGGTGTGCTTGAGAGGCTTTCAGAAATTTCTCTTTGGCTCCCTGCACCTAGATTGGGGTCCGCTTGCTTGCTCCGAAGTGTTGATCCTATCCAGTATATAAGACTGGCTCACGAGTAAGCCCCAAACCCCAAAACTTAAACCCTAAACCCGAACCCCGTGCATTGTATGTCCTTTTGGGTTCGTGGTTTTTTCTAAACCCCAACCCTAAACCCTAACCCCTAAACCCTAAACCCTAAACCCTGTTTCAGGCACAGGTTTTGGAGGAGAGCCCTGTGTCCAGGCACTGTCTTCGGCGCGTCTCGTTGCCAGCTCAGGGAATCAGGGCTTAGGGCTTCGGGCTTAGGGTTTAAGGTTTCGGGCTTGGGGTTTAGGGTTTAGGGTTTAGGCGTTAGGGTTTAGGGCTTAGGGATTTAGGGAGGGTTTAGGGCGTAGGGCTTCGGGTTTAGGGAGGCAGGCACACCTGAACCATACACCCCAGCCATGTCCCTAACCCTCAAACCCTAACAGGGTTCCCGTACACTTTGTGGTACTTTACTGTAACTTTAGATCCTTACCTTTTTTTGGGTTTGTTGGGTTTCTTCTTAAGGCAGCTAAAAGTTTAATTTATAGCTACCCTCCTGAGTGCAGCCAAGGTACAATCGGGTTTAGGGTGCAGGGTTTATAGGGCATAGGGTTCAGCGGACCTTCCAGATAAGCTTCAACGGGGCATAGGGTTGAGGGTTTGAGGTTTTTTGAAGGGGGGCGTAGAAGAGGGGTGTGGTGGGGTTTAGTCCCTAAACCCTAAAATCCCTAAACTCCCCGAGCCCTACCCTAAACCCTACACCCTAAACCCAAAACCCTAAGCCCTAAACCCTAAACCCTAAGTGCTTAGTGGCCATGAAATCCGGCAATTGCCGCCGGTGCAACTTTGACAGCTGTTTGAGCTGCAGCAAGTGGAAGGCCATGCGGTACTGGTTGCTGAGCACCCAGGAGTTGACTGTCGTTGGCCAGTTCTGCAGGGCTTGGGCTAAGCCCAGTAACCGTAGCTGTTGCACAAGCTAGCCTTTGACGTGAAGCACATGTATGGCGCGCCTGGACTGAACATGTTCTTGGTGGCAAAACTGAACCCATGCGTGACTCTGGATCCCGTAGCCCACGCAAGGGCGAGCCCAACGCTTAAGTGAGGGGCTACGCAGGCACGCGCGATGCATAACTGTGCCAGCGTAGCGGTTTGCACATGAAGCGTCTCGTTGTTCTTCTTTCGCGTAGTTGATTGTAGCTTGTGGCTCGCGTAGCCGTTGCACTGCTCGAAGCAGGTGCAAGCAGCTTCTGGTAGATTTCGAGTGCTAGGCTAGGTCGCATTCGACTTTTGCTATGGAATCCAGCGATCTGGTGGCAGACTTGGGCCTGCGCTCCAGTTTGGTCGTTAGCGTCGCGCAATCTTGGAGCATCTCTCGTCTGGCAACCTTGTCTGATTTGGATAATGCGGAGCTCGGGCGTATCCTTCAGCGCCAGGGAGATGGCTCTGTGGAGCGTGCAGTCTTGGCGGAGTTCGCGGAACTGGTGAAAGCTGCAGCGACTCTGGCTTGTGGCCCATGGTCGTGTGCGAAGAATTCTCGGCAGAGCATATTGTGGACTAGCATAGCCTTGAAGCGCCGCCGAGTGGAGCGTCCGAACCCTCTGCAGGAGCACGAGCTAGCACGGGATTCGGCGGTTCATCTTGCATCTTCTTTACACGGCCCCTCGACTGCCGCAGCGGTCTCATGGAAAACTCGTCATCGCCGTTCTGGCGGTCCGGAGCCTGGTCGTCGAGGGCGTGAAGACAGTGCTCGTCAGCGCTGGGTTCGGGAGCTTGCGAGACTAGTTCAGCAGGCAGGCCTGCCTGCCGCGCAGGATGTGTCTCTTGGTGAAGTGATACCGCGGCTGGGGAAAGGTCGCAGGGCCTCCACGTTGCGGAAGCACGTCAAGACCTGGCAGAGGATGGCAATGTGGGTCTGGAATGCCTATTCTGTTTCTTGGCCATCGGCGTCGCAATTCGCGGCTTACTTGCAATCGCGGGCAGCCGAGCCATGTGGAAGGACAGTTCCGGCCAGCTGCTTGAAGACTCTGATTTTCATGGAAGCGGCAGGGGAGGTGCCTTTGGCGTCGCGCGTAAGTCAGCATGCTGCTATCCGGAATGTGATGGAAGAGCTTGCTTTGGTGCTTGGCAATCGGGATCTGCGTGAACGTAGGACGGCCAATCAGCTGCTAGTTGCTCAGGTCTGCTCCATGGAGCGTTTGGTTGTCTCCGAACAAGCGCCGCGTTATGTTCGGGGTTTTGCTTGGTTTAGGCTTGTTAAGCTGTGGGGTTGTTTGCGTTATTCCGACACAGAAGGTATGCCAGCGCAGTCCTTGACGCTGGACGGCCGTGGACTTCGCGCTCGCTTGGAGCGTACCAAGACGACTGGGCCAGGCAAGAAAGTCACAGTGCTCTACACCTTTGTTTCTGTGAGAGCTTGGCTAGCGGAGTCTTCTTGGCTGTCTGTGGGTTGGGAGCTTTGGCAGCAGATGAGCAGCGAGGCCAAAGTGGAGCACCGGGACTTCTTCTTGGTGCGCCCGGCGGCGGATCTGAACGGCTTGTCAGGCAAGATGGCTCGTTATTGTCACGCTGCTGCGATGTCTCAAGCCCTCTTTCAGCATCTACAAGCTGCTTCGCCCGACGTCATGGGTCTGATGCTGAATGGCCTGGGCACTTTGTGGACCGAGCACTCAGAACGTGCCACCATGCGCACGTGGGCGGCATGTTGTGGAATTGCTGAGCTGGTTAGCAAGCAGCTGGGTCGCTGGCAAATGTCCATTGACGAGGCTTACGTGCGTTCCATTCGTGGCAACGTGGAGCGGGCGCAAGCTAAGATCGCGAGCGCCGTACGTCGTGGCTTCTCTGGCCCCGACTTTCTGGATGAGGGCAGTGTGCTTGCGAAAGTGGTGGAGCGCTTGCAAGATCTTGGCTATGAGGCGTCTGCCATCGAGCAGCAGTTGGAGCGCTTGCGTGTGTTTTCCAGCACAGCCTCGGGTGCGGCGTCTGAAACTGAGGATGAGGAGGACACGGCCAGCGAGGCTTCTGGATTCTCCCTTCCAGCCGACGGCGGTGTGGGCATGGACACTGACGATGTGGAGTTGCCTAATGGTCATCTGGGTCAGTTCTTTGTCAGCTTGGTGGGTCGTGAAGAGCGCCGGACTCTCCACAAAGGCGGGGAATGCCATCGGATCCCTGGTGTCCACTACCACAAGTTCCTGGCCTTCGGAGAGCGGCGTCCAGATGGCTCCCAGTACACTCGCTGCTGCAAGGATTGCTTCCCAGTCGCCAACGAGGTTGTGGGGTCTGTCAGTTCCGATGAGTTCGACAGTTCTTCTTCTTCGTCTTCTGAGTCAGGATCTGAGCGGCAGTGAAGCCGCCGCATTCCGCTAAGGTAGTGCAGGATGGAGGCGAGGCAGTGCTCGTTTGCGAGCGCTGGCGTCGTGAGCTTGTGATCCTTGGCCCCCCCCGATCACAAGTTTGAGTCAGGAGGATCAGGCGCATGGCCCAAGGTTTGCTGTGCGCAGAGGTAGGAAGGTCAGGACAGTTTGCGTTTGGGTGCCCGCGTCACGTCTTGCTTGTTTCTGGCCACAGTGCTTGCTTGTAGGTGCGCCCCCCCCCCGCCTTTGTGGCGATCTGTTTGGGTTGTTTGCGTGTTTGGGTTGCGTTTCTTTGCGTTTGCTATGCCGGCCGAGATGGACACAGAGGAGCAGCAAGAGAAGCTAGTGATGCAGCTGGACCCGGATCTCGCCGGCCTTCTTCAGTGCAAAGAGGTTGCGCTGAAAGTTCAAGCGATGTTGGCAGCCAAGAAAGTCAAGACAGTGAGTCGCCTGGCCGCTTTGGCCGACGACCGCAAAGGGCTTCGCGAGTTTTGCGTCAAAACGCTTGCTTTGGACCCAGACACTGCGGGCAACGATGTCGAGACTGCAGCAGTGGTGGATGCCTGGGAGTCGGCTCGGGTTCGCGTGGAAGCCCGCAACAAAGCGGAGGCAGAGGCCGTCATCGGGGGTCTACCCAAGGTTGTGCCGCGCACAGAGGTGGCGCAACTGCGAGAGCGCTTTGAGGCTGCCTTTTACGCCTTACCAGACAAAGTCATGCCGGCTACTGCTACACTAGAGCAGCATTTCGACATGATCGACCACGGGGAATATCAATATCTGTCCCTTAAGGAATACGCGTCCAAGGAGGATGCAGCGCAGGAGGACGTGGCGGCCACCATTGACCGAAGCACTGGCACCATCAAAGTCAAGAAGGGTCACGTTCAGGTTCCTCTACCGTCCAATGCTGAGGAGCTTCGGTCGCGGCTGCGCTTGGTGGCGCATTCGTTTGTGTTCTGCTCCTTGAGGTATCCGCGCCTCACGGCCTTGCAGGGTGTGGCTCCCTATCATTTCCAGAACTACGCGGACTTCCTGTTGGGTGATTTTGTCTTCGGCTTGCACGCTACGGATGCGGCAGGGGGCGTTGTTTCCTCGCCCGCGTTTGATCTGGTGATTGCGTACGAGTTTCAGCTGCGCAAGAACGTCATGAAACTTTTGAATGCCGGTGGCAAGTTGGTTTCGGCCCTGGAGAAGTCTATGGCTGACATGGTGATCAAGGAGCGCTATTTTGTCACGCCAAGCGCTTTGCGTGCAATGATGCCCCCCCCGCCCCCCCCGGTGTGGGGGGGACGAGAACGCTCCCGCAGTCGCGGGCGCCGCGGCGGCGGAAAGGGCAAAGGAAAAGGGAAAGGCAAGGTTAAATTCGTCGGGGACTTGAAGAAGGTGACGGAGGAAGGCGTGCAGATGTGCTTCAAGTTCAACAACGCGCATGAGAAGTGTCGGGGTCCTTGCGATCGGGCTCATGTTTGTCAGCTTTGTCTTGGCAAGCATCCCATGCATGCTTGTCCGGCTATGCGAGCGAAGTCGGCGGAGGAGGCGTCGGCAGGCAAAGAGTGACTATCCATGCAATCGCCGGCGTCATCGGTGGAAGAGCCGGCTGAGTCCGACCAAAGACCGGCTCCTGCGGATGGGGAGGTGGGTGGCCGGTCTTTGGAGCCATGTTGCGATGGTGGGGTTGAGCAGTCTTGCCGCGTAGAGAGCCAGCAAGCGTCGTTGTCTGGGCAAGACCACCCCGCGCAGCCTGAGCAAGAGTTTGTGGTGGCAGGCTACTGGGGTCGTGGCTTGCCCATCCAAGCAGTGTACAAGGGCCGTTCCCGTCCTATTCACGATGGAGGCGGCTTGTGCTCTCCTGGCAGATGGCCAATCAAGCAGCGCCAGTTTCCTCAGTCACAAGCTTTTGCCAAGGCCAGAACCTGCGTGTGCCGCTCTTTCATGGCTTGGCTGAAGCAGAGTGACGAGCAGGGCAATGATGCGCTGAAACTTTTCTGGTCTCTGGCAGCGGGAAAGCGGCAGCGTTCTCCCTTCGAGGCTGCCGCCCTGCAGCGAGCGCGGGCAGAGCTTGATGGTGTGTTGCGTGCTGAGGGAGTGTGCCCGGACCGTCAAGCAACTGACAGGCAGACCGAAATAAACTTTCGCAGGGTGGCTGCATTGTTGGAGCTAGCCGGCGACCCGGACTTCGCCTTTCTGAACGAGCTGGCTAGCGTTGGTGCGTGCTTGGGCGTGGGTGAAGTGCTGCCTCGCGTCCCTGCAGTGTTCGAGGCGAAGACTCGCTGGAAGCTGTCCGAGCCGGGAGGTGATTTTGAGCCAACGGTGTGCGCAAACTACAAGTCGGCAGAAGAGAACATGGAGGACATTCGCAGACAGATTGTGCAAGAGCTCCACAAAGGCACGGTCGTGTCGATGACGAAGTCTGAAGCGCAGCGCAAGTTTGGGAACAAGCTTGCAGTTGCCGCCCTTGGCGCGGTGCCGAAGGAGGTGGGCACATCGGAGGTTCGCATCATACATGATGCGACACACAACGTCGAGGTGAACCCTCGGATCCGAGTCCGGGATCAAATACGTTGTCCGAGGATTGATGACCTGGATGGACTGTTGCGGTTGCTTGTTGCAGAGTGTTCACGGGATCCCACAATCCGCTTCTGCTTGAAGTACGATGTCTCCAGAGCGCACAAGCTAGTGCCCATCAGGGAGGAGGACTGGGCTTATCAAGCGTTTTCTTTAGATGATCCTGACATCATCTACATGCACACGGTCGGGGCATTTGGACTAGCGTCGGCAGCGTATCACTGGGCCAGGGTTGCAGCGGCCATCGTTCGTTTGTCGCATTACATGTCGGACGTCGCATCCGCGCTCTATCACTTATTGTACTCCGATGATGGGTTGTTGTTAGCCACTGGCAAAGATTTTTGGCGGCGTCAGATGTTCTGGTTGTATGTCTTCGAGCTGCTGGAGGTTCCGCTATCGTGGAAGAAAGTGGCAGGCGGGGCTTCGCTGAGCTGGATCGGCTATCAGGTCGATGTTGTATCTTACCAGTCCGGCATTGGGCCCACCAAAGTTGGGTGGTTGGTGCGCTGGATCGACGACCATCTGCGAGAAGGGCGGGTGCAAGTGCGGCACATGCGGGCCGCGTTGGGCAGATTCTCCTTCATTGCGGGAGCTTTGCCACATGTGCGGCCGTTTCTGGGTCCCATATTTGCGTGGTGCGCGGCACAGGACGCAGGCGAAAGCCAGCTCCTTCTGGGCGTGCGGCTCATTCTTGAACATATTCGGCATGAAGTGGTTTGCGCATCTATGACCCCGCCCAGGCCTTTGCCGACTCAGGTAGGAGAGTTATTCCGAGTTGACGCCAAGGCCCAAGGCGACAAGATCGTGATAGGAGGCTGGGAATGTCTCGGCAGCGTAGGCCCCAAGGACGCACGCTGGTTCTCTGTAAAGCTGGACAGAACGACGGCGCCTTGGGCCTACGTCAAAGGCGACCCCTACCGGACCATCGCCGCGCTCGAGCTTATGGCCACCCTGGTTGCAGTGTGCGTGTTTGGCCACGGAGCTGTGTGGAAAGGTGCAGTAGCAACTGCGACAGTGGCGGGCTTCACCGATAATATGGGCAACAGTTTCGTCGTGGACAAGCACATGACGACAGCTTTTCCACTTTGTGTTGTGCTGATGGAACTCTCGGTGCAACTCAAGGACTTGGGCTGCACTCTGAACCTGGGCTGGGTACCAAGGGAGCAGAACACAGAAGCGGACGCTCTTACCAACGAGGACTTCACAGCGTTCGACCCAGCCAAGCGCATGCAGGTGGAGCCAGGGAACCTTGGCTTCAGGGTGATGCCGCGCTTGATGGAAGCGGCCATGCAGCTGGACTCGGAAATCAAGCTCTCGCGCAGGAAGCGGGGGCCTCCCAAAGCAGGTCGAGCCAAGTCTCGAGGAGTCGGCTTGCGCTGGGCAGATCCGTGGTAAGTCTGCTACAGGTAGGAGTGCTGCACATGCTAGTCAGTCAGGGATGCGTGCTTGCGTGTGATCGCGTTTGCCTTCTCTCGCCTTGTGCAGCAAACAACCCAAGTAGACTGTGGCATCAGGCTGCGGTCGCGTAAAGGAGTCCTGGCAGAAAGCGGGGGGGGGGGGGGCCCACTTGCCACTGGCGTGGCTCGTGATCCTGGGCTAGGTTTAGGAGTCGGCCGAAAATGAGGTTTGCCTGCGGTCGGGAAGGAAGTTTTCGGTCGACATAGCACAGCTGGCACAAGGCAAGCTGTGGATCGGTTTTCCTGCGCATCCCGCAGAACAAAAGAAGGCTTGAGCGTGTGCGCTGTTTCACGGTGGGCTGCAAGGGTGGTAGGGCGGGAGTCTTGCGACTTGAACTAAGAGACGCATAACTGTGCCAGCGTAGCGGTTTGCACATGAAGCGTCTCGTTGTTCTTCTTTCGCGTAGTTGATTGTAGCTTGTGGCTCGCGTAGCCGTTGCACTGCTCGAAGCAGGTGCAAGCAGCTTCTGGTAGATTTCGAGTGCTAGGCTAGGTCGCATTCGACTTCCCGCCACCGCCCCACTCACCTCCAGGAAGGAAGTTTTCGGTCGACATAGCACAGCTGGCACAAGGCAAGCTGTGGATCGGTTTTCCTGCGCATCCCGCAGAACAAAAGAAGGCTTGAGCGTGTGCGCTGTTTCACGGTGGGCTGCAAGGGTGGTAGGGCGGGAGTCTTGCGACTTGAACTAAGAGACGGCATCCAATCTCCAATCCATTCTGGTCACCCTAAACACTGAACCCTAAACCCTAAACCCTAAGCCTTAGAGGTTCAGGAACCCGAAGTTGCTTGCAAGGACCACCAGAGAGCTGGGTTTAGGGTTTAGGGTTTAGGGTTTAGGGCTAGGGTTTACGGTGTAGGGTGTAGGGTCTAGGGTTCAGGGTTTAGGACCCCAGGCCGGAGTGAGGCAAAGAATGAGGTCATGGAATTTGGGGGTTTACGATAATAATGAACCCCCTATAATATAGACCCAACAAGTAGCATCCCCTAGAATAGTGACCCCAACAAGGTACCCTAAATTTCGGAACCTCCCATTTCGAAAGTATCAGATTATCAAAGAACAGCATTTTGCTGAGATGCCGCCGACTCGTCGCCGAGGGGGCGAGCACATAAAGAGTCCAAGTCCTAAACCTCAAACTCTTTCTGTCCTAACCCTAAGCTTCCCTAAGCCCAAAACCCTTTTTGTCCTAAACCATAAACCATAAACCCTAAACCCTAAACCCTAAACCCCTAAACCCTAAACCCTTTTGGTCCCAAACCCTATGAGCCCAAAAGCCCTAGCCCCCTGGAATCCTGTGACTCAAGGTCCCTTCCGTGGCGCCACGGGTTCCCGAGCCCAGGCTCTCAGGGATTTAGGGTTCAGGGTTTAGGGTTTAGGGTTTAGGGTTTAGGGTGTAGGGTTTAGGGTTTAGGGTTTAGGGCTCTTTTACGTCTCAGGGTGTTCGAAGCTTTGTGTGCGTGCGTGCGTGCGTGCGTGCGTGCGTGCGTGCGTGCGTGCGTGCGTGCGTGCGTGCGTGCGTGCGTGGGTGCGTGGGTGCGTGGGTGCGTGGGTGCGTGGGTGCGGGTGCGGGTGCGGGTGCGGGTGCGTGTGTGTGTGTGTGTGTGTGTGTGTTTTTTCTTTTTTTTTTTTTTTTTGGGGGGGGGGGGGGGGGTTGGCTTAGTTTCAGGGTTTCAGCGTTTAAACGACTGTGTGTTTTAAGGGTTTAGGGTTGGGGAGTTGGGGTTTAGGCTAGATTCAAGGCTTTGGCGGGGCTTCGGGCTGGGGTTTAGGGTACGCTTACCCTGCAAATGCATTGCTAAAACAGCTTTCAATGGCAAGTTGGCAAGCCCTTCAAATCCCAAACCCTAAGCCCGTAAAGTTGGGATGTACCCTCCCGTATACTAATTGCAATTAGTCCTTAGTAGGGATTCTAGTAGGTGGGGAGCACCCCAACCCTAAAGCCGCAAAGACTCTAAACCCGAAACCCTTTGAACCCTAAAAGTTGAGAGCCAAGGATTCATGGGCTTTGTGGATAGGGGCTTTTCAGGGTTCGTAAGGTCTATGCATCGAGGTCGGTCACCATCTAATATGGCGGGCTTAACTAGAACTTTTTTGTGTTTTTTTGGGGGGGTGTATACTTAGATGACCATAATGGAATACTACTAGTATTGATTCCTACATTACCTTCATGGGGATTGCACCCTCAACAGCGTTTTGGATTTCATGGGGATTTCACCCTCAGCAGCGTTTTGGACGGCAAGACCTGTAGGGTTTGTGCATTTTTGGATTTAGGCAGTAGACCCTAATCCCAAAACCCGAAAACCCTAAACCCTAGATGAGGGGTTTAGGGCTCTGAGATTTCAGGAGTCTAGTCGCTCAATCTGAGGTATAAGGGCCTGAGTTTACAAGGTTTATAGGGTTTGTAGGTTTGTCGAGTTCATTGGGTTGTAGGGTTTAGGATATAGTTTTGGGGGTAGGGGACTTTCCCAACTCTCCTAAGAAGTAGTCGAGGTTTACTTACATGACCTGTATGGCTTAATGCAGCCACATAAGTGTCACATAAAGTACCCAATCTACCCTTTCTTGTTAAGTATAGGAACCCTAATTCGGAGCTTGGGGCTTAGGGCTTAGTGCGCAGGCGGCCATTGGGATACCTAGTCCGCAATCCGATCCAAGGGTTTAGGGTGGGCGTAGTACGCGCAATCCGATTACAGGGTTTAGGGTTTAGGGTTTAGGGTTTAGGGTTTAGGGTTTCGGGTGGGCGTAGCCTTGCCTTGGAAGCACAGAGTTACACGTTCGAGATACTTTGAGGTTCAGGGAAACCCTATTTCTCACCATGTTAGGGGTTCTTAAGGGGCCCTCTCAAGTGGGCTAGAACTATCCTGAGCCCGAAACCCTCTAAAAGTCAGAGCTGCACTTACAAAGACACCCTAAACCAAGCCGAAGGCTACATTTTGGTATCAGGGATATCTTCAAGCCCTAAACCATAAATCTTAAACCCTAAACCTTAAACCCTAAACCTCAACCTTCAACCCTAAACCCTAAACCCTAAACCCTAAACCCTCTCCAGGGGCCCCTTAGGGCTTGGCAAAGCCTCGAAGTTCAAGCCCCTGAGCACAGGCCGCCGGTGCACAAGACGCCTCGGAGCCCAGCTTGATTCTTGGGTTTCGGGTTTAGGGTTTGGGGTTTAGGGTTTAGGGCTAGGGTTTAGGGTTTCGGGGTTTCGGAATTCTTGGGTTTCGGGTTTAGGGTTTGGGGTTTAGGGTTTGGGGTTTAGGGTTTCCTATTTTGGGTTCCCTTTTTGAGAAGGAACATCGCATGATTTTGGGGTCCGTCTAGAGTGCGGAAAGCCCCGGCTCCCTGCATGGCAGACCTAAACACTGGACCCTTTTTGCCAGCTTCCGTGGTTTAGGGTTTAGGGTTTAGGGTTTAGGGTTTAGGGTTTAGGACCCCTAAACAGGTAAAAATCCTTGCAGGCCATCCCGGAGCCCCAGATCCTTCAAGCCCTGTGGCTGGGTTTCGGTTGTTGGGTCTAGCCCTAAACCCGAAAAAGCCTGAACCCCAAACCCCAAACTCCAAACCCTATATAAACCCTAAACCCTAAACCCCAAACCCTAAACCCTAAACCCCAAACCCTAAACCCTAAACCCTAAACCCTAAACCCTTCGCCGTCAGCACCCAAACGCATCCGGACCAAGGTCTCCTCCCGATGCGAAGCCGAGCAGACAAGGTGGGTTAAGCCAGGGACTCCAATCATCGAGTTTAGGGTTTAGGGTTTAGGGTTTAGGGTTTAGGGTTTAGGGTTTAGGGTTTAGGGGTAGACAAGAGTTTTGTAGGGTTTTGTGTAGGGTATTTGGGGGTCTTCAGAGGGCGCCAACAGCACGTGGCATTCCTTGACGATTGCATGGCACTATCGAGCCCAACCCTACGGATGCCCTGTCCCACTTCCAGCGAGGGCGCAAGGCATTTGGTTCAAGGATCGATGAGAAGTTCGTTGCTGCCAGCGTCACAGGGTTAGCCAGCGCCCACATGTAGGGGCAGTGAAGTCAACGAACTCGCTGCACACCTTTTAGCGGCAGCGCCCATTTGTGGCTCCATGCAGCACCTCACCAGAAAGGACACATACTTCAACAAGTGGCCGGTCCCGTTTCTCCCCGTTGCAGGGATGCCGCAGATTCATTAGTTGACGAAGCACAAGTTGTTTGAAAACGACACGGAACGTGATCGGGCGCCAGGCGATGATGGCACGGGCACGCCTCCTGAAGAGCCAGCAGGCCCAGCAGGACACGCCGCTCGCATGCCTGCAGCAGCAGGCCCGGAACTTCCAGGACGAACGACAGACAAGGTCATCACCTTCCCGCATGAAATGCACTGGACCTTGACCCACCCTAAACCCTAAACCCTAAACCCTAAACCCTAAACCCAGGAGTTCCTACATTTGGCGGGCATCATCAGAATGGACGTGTCGACCTGACTGTCGGGTTCTGGTAGCAGATTGTTGGGCTGCATGCTGCCGAGCAGGGTTTATAAGGCTCATAGGGTTTAAAAAGCCGGGGTTCCTACGCTAGGGTTTAGGGTTTAGGGTTTAGGGTTTAGGATTTAGGGTTTAGGGTTTAGGGTGTAGGGGTGATCGTCTCCGGGTCTAGAACTTCAACCCTGTGTGCCCCTCCCTCGGCCTGGTATGGTATCCATGGTCCCCCCAAGCAACCCCAAACGCCCGCACGAGCCACCGGGGGAGAGGTGAACCTAGACCATAGACCCAAAACCCTGAACACCAGAACCCATTGGAGGCAAAGAAAATACCCTAAGACGAACCCGAAAACCACAGTCAAACCCTAAACCCACCATGAACCACAGACCATGAACCACGGGGGAACCTCCAACCCAAAACCCTAGGCCCTGAACCCACCATGAACCACAGCAAGAAGGGAGGGGGGATACCAAGGGGGGTGGGGGTGCGTAGGGACGTTGGGGCTTGTAGCATGTAGGGTCGGGGGCTTATAGTGTTTGGTCACCAATACATACAAACCCCTGTTTCATACGTTGACCCTAAACCCTAAACCCTAAATGTCAATTTGTTGTTTGGGCTGTTGCAGATCAGGGCCTTGAGGCTAGGGTTCTAGGGTTTAGGGCCCCTAAACCCTGCTTTTGGTGTTCAGGGTTTAGAGTTCAGGGTTTAGGGTTTACGCTGGTCGAATCCTGAACCACAAACCCTGGAAGACCTAGACTCCTAGACCCTGCACCCCTAAACCCTGAACCCTAAACCCTAAACCCTAAACCCTAAACACTGACCCCGCTCGCCCCAAGCCCATGCCGAGTCAGGTGCCACGCGCGGGCCTGGCTCAAAAGAGTCTGCAGGACAGTGGGAATTCAAACAGTTTGGGGCCTTTAGGGTTTGTGCTGTATTATGAGGTTCATTTTTTTTGTGCGGGGGTTCTTAAACAGTAGAATATGTGTGCATGTAATTATTTCTTTCGCTCGTTTTGTTTTGTGTTTGTTAAACGTATTCTGTTGGGCTGTTGAGGACTTTATTTAGGTGTTTTTGGGTTTAGAGGGTTCGTGTTGTAGAGTTTTGGGCTTTCGGGGTTTAGGATTGAGGGTTCGGGTTTTGGGATTTGGGTTTAAGGCTTTGCGTTGTGGTTTTGCTTGGGGTTTTCGGTGTTTGAGGGGTGAGGTTTAGTTGAGGGTTGGGGTTTAAGGAGAGTTCTTCGGCAGTTCTTTGGCCTTGGCTGCCACTCTTTTTCTACAGCCTAAAGTTGCGTTGACCCTAATCCATAAAACCGGTAAACCCTACATATATACATATATATATATCTGTAAATATAACACCACATAAAGCCGGAAAACCCTACACACATATATATATATATATGTAAATATATAACACCACATAAAACCCTATAATCCCTAAACGTGTCCCTAAAATGCTACGAATGCCCTCAAATCCTAGGGTGTAGGGCTTAGGTTTGAGGGCTAAGTGTTCTAGGGGGGTTGAGGGCTAAGAGTCTAAGAGCCCCAAGTCCTAAAATTCCGAAGCTCCCCATGCCAAAGCAGCCAAATCCCAAACTCCCTAAACCCTGACCCTTCTAGGGCTTAGGGTTTAGGGTTAATTTAGGGTTCCCCTAAACCCTAAACCCTAAACCCTAAACCCTAAACCCTAAACCCTAAACCCTAAACCCCCTAAAACACGAGAGACTCTAGAAATGACTTCAGATGGTTGGGGCAGGACGTGGCGAAGGCCGCCACAGCCGCCGAGGATGTCCCCCCTTCTTGGAGGGGTCCACCCCTTCATTTGGGTTTAGGGTTTAGGGTTTAGGGAATAGGGTTTAGGGTTTAGGGTTTAGTGTTCAGGGTTCAGGGTGCAGGGTTTAGGTTTAGGGTTTCGCAAGGGCCTTGTATAGTAATGCCACTTAGGAGCTACTGGGAAGTTACTGTACTTAAAGCACATTTTGTGACCCCTGACAACTCTGCTCATGAATCTAGGCCGTGGACCCTAAATCGAAGGGGTTTGGCTCAGACGGGAGGCCTATAAACCCTGCACCTGAAACCCTAGGTCCAGGGGGCTTAGGGTTTCCGGAATGTCAAATCCAGCATAGGAAGAGTAGGACCCTAAACCCTAAACCCCAAACCCTGAGCACTAAACCCTAAACCCTAAACCCTAAACCCTAAACCCTAAACCCTAAACCCGGATGATGATCATATAGTGAGCCCTTCAAGCCAGCAGCGGCGAAGCTTTGGGCCTTTGGGTTCGGACCGTTTAGGGATCTTAGGGTTCGGAGTTTAGGGCTTAGGAGAGCCCTTCGAAAGTACACAATTTCTTTGTACCTTTTTGTTTGGAGGTGATTTGCACCTTGTGTGTGTGTTTGGTGTTTATTCGTGGATTTTGTCCGGGCCGCTTCGGTCACGTCTGGATTTAGGGGTAGGGTAAATGTGAAGGTCTCCTAGTTTCCCTAGATCTGGTGTCTAGGGTTTTCGGGCCAGGGCTTGTGGTTTCGGGTTTAGGTTTTAAGGTGTAGGTTTGGGTTTTTGAGGGTTCAGGACATGATGGTCTTTGTTGGAGTCCTATTCTAATGCGGAGATTCAGAGAGAACCCAAGACAGACCCAATTTGGGAACTGCTCACATAGTGACTTGTTCTGGTAGTTGGGTTTGGGGTTTAGGGTTTAGGGTTTAGGGTTCAGGGTTTAGGGTTTAGGGTTTAGGGTTTAGGGTTTTCGGAGGGGTTTAGGCGGCCGCGGAGCCTCGAGGCTTATCAGATTTCCTGTAGCCTGCGTGCAGCCTGCCTTTTGCTAGTGCACGATGCTTTGTGTTAGGATGCTCTCGGGCGAAGAGGTGGCAAAGGTGCTGCTGGATGAGGTGAGCGATGTGAGGAGCTTGAAGCAGCATCTGCATCAGCTTCATGGCTTGCCACCCCGTTTCCAGCAACGGATACTTGTCCATGGCCAGCGCTTGGATGATGCTGACAGAATAGACTCCACCCTGGAGCTGGAGCTCGTCTTGCTGACGTATTCGCCGGCTTCTGATCTGAATGTGGATGATCTCCTGTCTGCTGCATCATGCGGATCCATGGTTGATGTCGCTCTGTGCTGAAACTAACACGGGAGCAGACGGGGGAATCCTCATTATACTTGCTTGTGCGCTTGGCGCCGTAGGCAAGAAGTGATAGGCATTTTTGGGGTTAGTTTCTTGGGGCAGCGGGGGCTTTTGCTCATACTTTGGAGAGCCCCTTCAGGATGCCCAGTAGTACCCTTATTCCCTTTTTGGGGGGGTTTAGGTTCCCTTATAAACCCCTTTCAGCAAAAAAGGGCACCCTTTTTAAGCCTAGGTTACTTGGCAGCCTAGCCCCTTCAGGTGGAGTCCATGCTGCAGCAGCCCTGTGACCCGGACGCAGCCGACGATGTCGGCTGGACATCGATGATGGCGGCAGCTGACACTTACTGCTTTTTAGTAGGAACCCTATATCCCCCACCTATGTATATGTATATATATAGATATATATGGGTTTAGGGTTTAGGGTTTAGGGTTTCGGGTTTAGGATAACTTTTAAGGGACTATGTGGGTACCTCACTCCCTCCTTCCCTACGAAACCAACAGCAAGGAAAGTGGCCACGCGAACGTCGTGCGCTTGTTGCTTGAGGCGGGTGCTCAGATCGACTCGGAGTGCACGGACGGCGCAACAGCTCCTTGGTAGCCCAGTGGTACCCTAGGGTGCCCTTTTTGGGTTTTTGGTTCCCTAAACCCTAAACCCTAAACCCTAAACCCTAAACCCTAAACCATCATAGAATAACCAACCCAAAAAAGGGTGCCCCTTAGTACAATAGGGTTGCTGGGCTCCCAAGGCTCTCATGGTTGCATCTTACAATGGTCAGGTGGAGGTCGTGCGCTTGTTGCTGGAGGCTGGTGCTCGCATCGACTTGACCAGAAAGGATGGTTCGACAGCCGTCAAGCTGGCATCCTGCGAAGGCTACGTGGAGGTCCTGCGCGTGTTGCTGGAGACCGGTGGCTTGGCTAGCGACTTGGGTGGGGACGCCGCTCTGATGGAGGCAGCTTACAATGGTCAGGTGGAGGTCGTGCGCTTGTTGCTGGAGACCGCTCACATCGACTTGGCCAGCGACGTCGTCTGGAAAGCTCTGATGAACGCATCTGCCAGTGGTGAGGTTGATGTCGTGCGCTTGTTGCTCGAGGCCGGTGCTCCCATCGACTCGACCAGAAACGATGGTTCGACAGCTCTGATGATGGCATCTCACAACTCTCACGTGGATGTCGTGCGATTGTTGCTTGAGGCGCGAGCTCGCAGCGACTTGGCCAGAAACGATGGCTTGACAGCTCTGATGCTGGCACATGGCGATGCAGGGGTCGTGCGCTTGTTGGAGGACGATGCTCGCAACCCCTGCTGACCGGCCTGGAGAACTTAGACCCTAGACTCTCAACTGTAAGCCCTAAGCCCTCGGCCCTGAACCCTAGACCCGAAACCTGGTCGGAGGCGGATTCCGACTGCGTCCAAAGCGCTGGAGTTACAGAAGCTCGAACCGCCAAGAATGAGCCGCTGTACGTTGCACCTTTTGTTCGGGATAAGCCCTATCCGTGCCCCATACTTTTTGCCCTAGCCGCCTAAGGGCTAGACAGTGGACCTATTACTCGATTAGGGCTTAGGGTTTCGGGTTTCGGGTTTAAGGTTTAGGGTTTTAGGGCATCTTATACTTGGTTTTGTTTAGGCTCAAGGGTCCTAAACCCTAAACCGAAACCCTAAACCCTAAACCGGGTGTTAGTGGGAGCATATGGAAGGAAGCGCCACGGCGGCAGCTCTGCGACGTAAGGATTCCCTGGACAGCGAGGCGCACTGGGTGGAACAGCGTGTGGGTGCAAGGTGAAAGTGCCTCTCTCTCCGTCTCTGTCTGTCTCTATATACATATAATATATATATATATATATATATATATTCTCTCTCTCTCTCTCTCTCTCGCTCTCTCTCTCTCTCCATATATATATATATATATATGTGGGTTTAGGGTGTAGGGTTTCGGGTACCGGGTTTATTTGCTGGAGATCTCTAAATTTCGGGCCCATATAAATGTGCTTATGCCTCTAGGGAGGGGCTCCATTGCCATACTGACGAGGGCTGCTAAGTTGAGAGTTGAGCCTCAACTCTAAAATACCCCTAAACCCTAAGCCCTAAACGCTAAATTCCAAATCCTAAACCCTACACCCTAAACCCTAAACCTTAATCCCCTAAACCTTCCTTTCTTCGGAGGTGTCAGAGCCCTGCCGCTTCGACGGCCTCGGGCTTAGGACGCTCCAAGACAGTCTTCCAATGTTTTGGGTTTAGGGTTTAGGGTACGGCTTAGGAGGTACAGCTTAGGAGGTCTAGGGCTTTGGGTTTAGGGTTTGGTACTGGCTGGGGTTGACTTGGCCTAAACCCTAAGTTCTAAACCCTCTTAATCCATACAGATGTGTTTTCTCCTGGTGCCCACCCCCAGCAGAGGGTTTGGGGGAGGTGAGGGGTTAAGGAATACGTTTAGGGTATCGGGCAGGAGCTTGCGGTTTAGGGTTTAGGGTTTCGGGGTTAGGGCTTAGGGCTCAGCGTTTAGGGTTTAGGGTGTAGGGGCTTCTAGTCCTTTAAAGGATTTGTAGGGTTCATAGGGTTGACGGGTTTAAGCTTTAGTGTACATAAGTTTTGTATTTTGTATTTCGATCGCATCGTAGTCTATGAATCCCCTGCCCAGAGCTCTTCGTTCTTTGCATGGTGGTAAGTTTCATTGTTAACGGGATGTTCTGTATTTTGCTTTCCTGGTCTGTCGTAAGTTATTAGTAAACCCTAAACCCTAAACCCTAATCCCTAAACCCTAAAACGTGTTTCTTTATTTGAACAGAAGCATGATTCACCACTTGGTTCAATCCATAGTCCACTTTGGGCATGTCGAAGCCCCTCTAAACTCTCAACCCTAAGCCCTGGAAACCCCTGCAACCGATTGCGGTTCATGCACGGGCTCAAACCCTAAACCCTAAACCCCCACACCAACCCGAAACCCTGCATGGTGCCCGAGTTCGTACAGCAAACCACCCCCCCCCCCCCCTCCGGGCTCCTCCCCCAACAAAAAACAACGGAACCCGCAGGTAGCTCCAAACTAAGCCGCGAAACCTTCAGCCCGAACCCCTAAAATCCCTAATCCCAATCAGGAGAAGGGCTATGGTGCTTTAAGACTTTCGGGCTTTCGAGCCGAAGTTGGGCTCAGTAGCGTTTGGGGTGATGAGGGTTTAGGGTTTAGGGTTTAGGCTTTAGGGTTTAGGGCTTAGGGTTTGGGGTTTAGGGTTTAGGGTTTAGGGTTTAGGGTTTAGGTACATCAGGACCTGTTGGGGTGAACGCCCAGCAGAGCTGGGTTGGGGGTGTTGGGGTGTGCGGGTGGTTTGGGTTCAGGGGTCGGTGTGATTTTTTTTTTTTTGGGGGGGGGGTTCTAATTCTGCAGCAAATCGTAGTTTATGGTTTTTTTGGGGCGTTGTTGTTTTATCATCGGGGCCTGAAAGTCTCTCCTCCCGAGTCTGTACCAATAAGAGTACAGGACCCCGAGCAAGTAGCCAACGGGGGGTTTAGGGTTTAGGGTTTAGGGTTTAGGGTTTAGGGGTAGCGTGCAAGGGTTCGGGATCAGGGTTTAGGGTTTGCCGCTTTGGGGTTTAGGGCTAAGCTTGAGGCGAAGATGACGACGAGGAGGCGCCATGGCTCTTCTTGAGTTGTACTTGTTCTGTGAGATACCCTAACCCCTAACCCCTAACCCCTAAACCCTAAACCCTAAACCCTCAACCCTAAACCCTAAACCCTGAGGCCTAAGGCCTAAGGCCTAAGGCCCTAAACCCTGAACCTAAACATGGCAGACGGCAGACGCATACGTGGAACTCCCAAACCTTAAGTTGGCTCAGAAGCACGAACGGAAGGTTTCAGCAACTGTAGAACTGAGAAGCTCCCAAAAGCCAACCTGAGAAAGCCCTCCACCACTACGGGTTCAGGGTTTTCGGGTTTCGGGTTTAGGGTATAGGGTTTAGGGTAGGGTTTAGGGTTGAGGGGGTTTAGGGTTTAGGGTACGGCTTATGAGGTCTGGGGCTTAGGGTTTAGGTTTTGGCACTGACGCCCTAGACACTAAATCCTAATCACCCCAAACCCTACTTGCGTTTTGGGGGCTTTAACGGTGATCCCGCTATGGTTCTAGGGTTTAGGCTGGTAAGGCGAAAACACTCACAGCCGAAAACAAATCTTCTACCCCAAAGCGTCTCAAACCCCAAATGACCCAAAGCCCCGACCCTGAACCCTCAACCCTCAACCCTAAATCCTTCAGGGTAAAGTAGGGTTTAGGGCCCTGATGATGCCCTAGATCCCTGAATATGCCCCTTAGCACTAAGAGGCGCCTCAGCCCACGATCCCTAAAGCCCGCAACACATTAGAGCCTAAAACTCAAACCCCTTCACCCCTAAACGCTAAACAGGAGGAACGGGGCGAAGTGCCTGCGAAGCGGGGTTTGGGCCTCGGGTTTAGGGTTTAGGGTTTAAGGTTTAAGGGATTCAGGAATTCAGGGATTAAGGGTCCAGGGGCGTTCCGAGTAGGATTAATTGATAGTGTGCAATGGAGCCTCCAGGAAAGCCCAAAACCCAAAAGCCCTTGAACCCTAAACGCTAAAAACCCTAAAGCCTTAAACCCTAATTGTTCTTCCCTGCATGCTTTGGGACCTTTGTAGTGGGACTTCTGGGAAATTCTGTTCATTGTTAAAAACCGTTTGGGGTACTTACCTTAGGGATGTAGGTCCATGTGTAGAGAGGGGGTCTGGGTGTTAGGTATCAGGGTTTGAGGGCGGGAAGGGCGGTTGGGGATTAGGAAATTGTTGGGCCCACGTGGTCAATTCTCTCAATATACAGACGTGTGCACTATGTCTAAAGTAATGTATCGAGTCTGTAACCCTAAACCCTAAACCCGAAACTAGGTTTCAGGGCACTTCTGCTTGACACGAAGATTGATTGTCTCATGAACTTTTGGGTGAAAGATTTCAGCTTGGGCAAAGGACTAAGGGCATGGAGAGGCCGTGACTTGCGGAGAGTTTAGGGTTTAGGTTTTAGGGTTTGTAAGGTTTAGGGCTTATAGGGTTTAGGGTTTCTAGGCTTTAGGAGAGCCAAGTGGCAGCTCCTGAAACGGCCGGGTAAGCTTCCGAAGACGCGCTCAGAGTCTTTTACCTGGCAGGCGGGCAAAATACGTTCGCAAGACTCCGAAGACCACCCAACTCAAGGACCCCCCACCAGAAACCCTGACCCTTGAACCCTAAACCCTAAACCCTAAACAAATCCGATTTGTTTGGGGTTTTTGAGGCTTCGAAACATGAGCCCATCTGTTCGATGGAATGGACATACAGTAGACCCTATAAACCCGAAGCCGTTGCATGCTATGAGGTTCTTTCAGGGACGGCACTGTAACTACATATCACCCTATCCTTATAAACCCTAACCCCTAAACCCTAAACTCCTTCTTTGCTGCTGGGTAGGTATCCATTTCTTACAACACTCACAGGCATGCATGAACGACCCCCTTTAACCCGAAGTGCTTCAGGGTTCGGGACACCCCGAGCCCGACACCCGAAACCCTAATTAGGGAGGTTTCGGGTTTAGGGTTTAGGGTTTAGGGTTTAGGGTTCAGGCGGTTTAGGGTTAAGGGTTTCGGCTTTACGTTTAGAGTGTATAAACTAAAGCCTTAGCTCGCCCCTTGCCACCTAGAAAATTCATCCAGCAAGCCTTCGTGCTCTCAAGGTGTCAACGGTGGATTCCGATGGCCTCGCAACGAACGGCCCCAACGTCGATCCCTCAGTTACAAGTAGCATTGGGGTTCAGGGCTTAGAGGGTCGATACCGGGGAATGCCTTTTGCCCACCTTTGTTTTTGGGCTATATCTCCTGATTGAGTGGTAAGTGCTGTACAGCTGTAGGTAAACAGAGTAACAAGTAGAGTTGAGGGCTTGATGATGTCGGGTTCAGGGTTGCTCACGCTGACGCGTGGCGATTGGGTACAGCAGATGCCCCCAAAGGTCGAACTGCGGTGTTTGCGCGGCCTTTGGGGGCCGTCTACATGGTTTAGGGTTTAGGGCTTAGGGTTTAGGGTTTAGGGTTGAGGGTTTAGGGTTTAGGGTTTAGGGTTTGGGGGTTCGCCCCGCCAGAATGGTCTGGCATTTATGAGGAATGGCTGGGCACCCTCGGGAAGGAGCGAGAAAAATCTGAAGGGGACCCTTCAGGGAGATCCTCTTCCGCGTTGCCGGCAACCTTTACGGACGCGGGACCGCAGGGTTTGTTTACAGAATTGAGGTGGAGGAGATCCTGTGCAACAAGCTCGCAAAGAAATACGAGTTCCGCAGAGGCAAAACCTTGGGCACGAAATGAACCCTTAAAGGATTTATGGTTCATATACCTGAATTTGAATTATGGTAGTATAGTGTAATTTCAGGGTTCATTGGTCCCCAAGGCAAGGACCCCTGCATGTACCGGTGTGGGTGCACTGGCCTTGTGCTAGTGCACCACGTGGACGGCATCCGCGTGGCAGGCCCCAAAGATGTGGTGCAGTTTTTCTCGAAGGAGGGTTTAGGGTTTAGGGTTTAGGGTTTAGGGTTTAGGGTTTAGGGCTTAGGGTTTAGGGTTTAGGGTTGCGGTTGAGCACAGCCCAGAACTTTGGGCACACCAGGGGACACCCTGCAACCCTGTAACCCCGTGACCCTCTCAACCCTATTACCCTAAGACCCTCAAACCCTAATCCCTAAAGCCCTCAATCCCTGAAAACTCGAAACCTCCTATAACCCGATAACCCTAAAACCTAAAACCCCTAAACCTCAATCCCTAAAAACCCTAAGCCCTAAACTGAGCCCGAAACCCCATATAACCCGATAACCCTAAAACCCTAAAACACCAAAGCCCTGAACTCGAAACCTCCTGTGAACGGACACCAGGGGACACCCTACAACCCTGCAACCCGATAACCCTAAGCCCTAGACCCCGAGCCCGCTGTGAACGCCAGGGGCCCAAGAGACAGCCGAAAGCTTCGGCCGTCGACAAGGCCCAAGGGGTTTAGGGCTTAGAGCTTAGGGCTTAAAGTTTAGGGTTTAGGGTTTAGGGTTTAGGGTTTAGGGTTTAGGGTTTAGGGTGGTCCTGAACCCTGAAGCCTAATCAGTACATGCGTTTTGGGCTGTCAGGTGCCAGAGATTTCTTCTTTGACTGCCCTAGAGCCTCGTAATACAGACCTTATTCTTCAGGAAATATTGTAATTTCGCTTATTGTCGCGCCTCAATACCCCTTGCAAAATTGCGCTCATTTTATTGACTTCGTATTCTCATTCATATTATCGCGGGCGAAATAAGAGAAATAGAATGCCCGCCCGTAATACAAATATAATTTTCTAATTCACGCAAAATACAAGGAGAGCGTGCAATAATAATATTGATGATGATGATAATGATAATGTGTGCGAAGAGAAGAGTAGAAGTGAATGAGCGAATTGATGAAGAGAATTCACGTGCACCCAACCCTCTATCTCTAGCTCCTGTTAACTACCAATTCCTTAAGAACCCCGAAAAGATAACAAATATTCTTCCTTATTCAGGGCAATATAGGGATCATTATTGTTGTTCCTAAACCCTAAACCCTAAACCCTAAACCCTAAACCCTAAACCGTATAGCAATTAATGGTTGATCTGGGGGCATGCCAATGGAGCAGGCTGAATATTTCTTAGAACCTCTGAACCCTAAACCTTCAAACGCCTTCAACCCCCCCCGCCCCACACCTGGGGATGTAATGTCAGTTTCGAAGCCTGAACTCTGAACCCTAAACACCTGGGGATGTAATGTCAGTTTCGAAGCCTGAACTCTGAACCCTAAACCCCTAAAACCCCTGAACCCTCAACCCTAAACCTAAACTCCCTAAACCCCTAAACCCCTAAACCCCCAAACCCTAAACCCTCAACTTTTAAACCCTAAACCCCAAACCCTAAACCCTAAACGCCTTAAACCTTTCCTGGGCTTCCAGGCCATGTGGTGCTACGGGGCGGCGCACAGGCCCAAGAGCTGAAGAGAAGCCTTCTCTGAGGGGTGGTTTAGGGTTTAGGGTGTGGGGTGGTTCATTTGGGGGGTGGGGGGGGGGATCTGAAATTGGGGGTACTTTCGTGGGGTCCTTATTGCAAGGGGAATCCTATCATTTTGGGGCGGCGGGGGTTTCCGAAATTGTAAGGGAAATCCTACTAGATTTGCTCCTCTTTAAGAGGGGTCCCCTTCTTTTCGTCAGCTCCCACTTGTGGTGTTCTGGATTCCTTACCAGTAGCCAACCCCAAAAAGGGTACCCTTAGCAGAAAATTGTTCGGAGCCCTGGGTTGCGATGTCAAAGAAACTGCACATGGTTTGGGCTCCGCGTGCGAGTTTAGGGTTTAGGGTTTAGGGTTTAGGGTTTAGGGTTTAGGGTTTAGGGTTTAGGGTTTAGGGTTTAGGGTTTAGGGTTGCCGAGTTGGTGTTCAGGGGGGGCCTTTGGGTTTTAGATGGCCACGGGTTTTGGGTCTCTTTGGCTTTCGAGTTGAGGGCCTTCGGGGTCTAAGCCCGACACCCCAAACCCCAAACCTTAGCCTTAAACCAGGCGTGAAGGGTTATCGTCTAAACCCCTTTAAACCAAAACGGGCACTCTTTCTATGCCTAGGTTACTCTTGCGTCGAGAGTTTAGGAAGATACTTTTTCCGGAGTTTGTTCTAAGGGTTTAGAAGGGCCAACCTTGGATTGAAGAACATGCCTGGCGCAAGCTTCTGGCTGGGGTTTAGGATGGTTCTTCGGGTTTAGGGTTTAGGGTTTAGGGTCTAGGGGTTTGGGGATTGGTTAGAAGGCAACTGAAGCGCTGATACGGTAGTCTCGGCCATGCAGGTGTCAAACTCACCCACGACTGAGCTGTCGTTGGCGGAACGCCTGGGACCCAATGCAGGAGCCTGGAGAATTGGGTTGAGGGTTAGGGTTTAGGGCTTAGGGTTTAGGGTTTAGGGTTTAGGGTTTAGGATTTAGGGTTTAAGGGTTTAGGTATGAGGGCTTAGGGTTTAAGGGTTTAGGTATGAGGGCTTAAGGGTGTAGGCTTCATCCCCTTACAACTCCCTGTACGGGATCATAGAAATTCATGGAGCCTACCAAAAACTTGTCTATCCTTGTGAACGGGCCTCTATTGAACAAAAAGCAGTGTCTATGGTTGGGCTTCAGCACGGTGAGTCGTGCCCTTTTGGCCGCTTTTTCTAAGCCAGGCTCCTTTTTCAAGCCACAGTGTAATTTAGGGCTGAGAGCTCAGGGTCATAAAGCAGACTTTGAGGCCGAAGAGGCCTTGTGTTGCGGGAACCACGAGGATGTCATCCGCAAGCCCAAAACGCCCGTACTTCCTTAGGCCAAGGCCTTCGTGGAGCTGCAAAGAAAATCTTGGGCTTCGTTTGGCTCGGACTCATATGAATCATGGGCTGTATTGTTGTTCCATGGTGGCTGACGATGTAAGACGTAAGCATGCATTGCGGATTCAACCCTGTGCCTTAAATCCTTTCTCTGCGATCCATGGACTTTTTCTGGAGGATAATCATGTAGAGGGTTTAGGGTTTAGGGTTTAGGGTTTAGGGTTCGGGACTCCCCAATGCACACCCCTTACCCTTGACACTAAACCCTGCAAAGGCCTCGAGCATTTCCGAGCCCGGGCCTTGGCACCACGCTGTGCTCTAAACCCCTAACCCCCTAAACCCTAAACCCTAAACCCTAAACCCTAAACCCTAAACCCTAAACCCTAAACCCTAAACCCTAAACCCTCAGGTTAGGGTGTATGGTTTCTGCTTAGAGGTGGAGGTGCCTCAAACCCCATACGGGTAGCTGCCGATGCAGTCAAGACCCAGGAGCTCTTGGCCCTAAATTGGAAAATAGAATGAACTAAGGCCCTCAACCCCAAGACGTAGAGGGGCTCTAAACCCTAAACCCTTCGAGCCCTGAACCCGCAAAGCCTTAGAGTCCTGAAGCCAATAAGCCCCCTAAACCCTAAACCCTAACCCTAAACCCTAAACCCTAAACCCTAAACCCTAAACCCTAAACCCTAAACCCTAAACCCTAAACCCTAAACCCTCAGCTCTCCGAAGCTGGGTACCTGAATTCCCTGCTGAGCCATTGAAAGCCGAAACGGCTCAAACCACCATGCCATCCTAGATCCCTTAAACCCAAGGGTTTAGGGTTTAGGGTTTAGGGTTTAGGGTTTAGGGTTTAGGGTTTGGGGTTTGGGGTTTAGGGTTTAGGGCTTACGGTTCAGGATTTGGGACTGTACACTAGGCCCTAAACTTGAAGCCGCACACACAAATCCCGACTTCAAGAACGAAACGCCTTTTTTGGTAAGTACCAATTCTAGAAGGGGTGTTACAATCATGACCTGCAGAAAGGAAGGCTTGGGATTCTTGAAGGTGTACCTAAAGCCTGTAAAAAAGCCCGTGGATAGGGATTCTAATCGGGGGTACTACATTCCAATCGCTGTGAAGGACTGTTAGTATGCAGGGGGGAACATCCCAACCGAAACCCCTAAAAGCCCTCAACCCCCAAAGCCCTCAACCCCCCAAAGCCCTGAGCCCCTAAAAGCCCTAAACCCCCGAGAGCCCTAAAACCCTGAAAAGCTCAGAGCCCCCTAGAGCCCTAAAACCCTAAAACCCTCAACCCTAGAACCCTAAACCCTAAACCCTAAACCCTAACACCCTAAACCCTAAACCCTAAACCCTACAGGGACATCCCAACCTAAGCCTCTCAAGCCCCTAGAACAGAAGCCCTTGGTCGCTGAGTCCCACGCGCAGCTCAAGCGCCTGGGGGCCATCCAGCGGGACATCGCCGGGAGCTGTTTTGTGGCCCTAAACCCTAAACCCTAAACCCTAAACCCTACACCCTAAACCCTAAACCCTAAGCCCCAAGCCCTAAACCCTAAACCCTAAACCCTAAACCCTAAATGAACCCTAAACCCTAGGGGGGGGGGTCTTAGCCTTAGCCTTCGTCCCTTCGGAAATGAGGGCTTTGGATTTGGGATCCTCTACTGCTCCCCCTTGAGGGTTTCGGCCTTTGGGTTCTCTCGCTGGGCAGTGGTTCCGGTGGGGGTAGTAGAGGACCTGTGAAGCTCTGTTTGGGGGTCCAGTGTAAACACGAATTACTGTGAACCATGTTGTCAGTACATGCGTGCTAAACTCAGCATCATACTTGTAGATCGGTGTATTGATAACGGAGCATTACAGCCATTTCTGAGTGGATCTAGGATGAGTGTTTTTTCGGGCAAATTTCTCCTCATGCTGGCTGGCAAATGTTACACATGTAGCGGCATGGGACCCAAACCTTCATCCTTTGTTCTGCTCCTACAGACTGTTTTCCCAAAACGGAAGAACATGGACGCCCGGAAAGCACGCATATTGTACTCCCCGGCGACCCCAGCCTGGTCTGCTGGCTCTGCTTCTCCACGCTGCTCCTGTCGTTCGAGCACACCGATGCGCCCGAAGAACGGGGCGGACGGTGCCTGGTCCCTGGAGTTTGAGGGCTTCCCCCTGCCCGAGGGCCCGGCGCCAGACCGCTGCCAGGGCTGCGAGAGCTGTACGCCGGCGATTGTTTTTCCCATCGTGGAAACAACAACGATCGCTATGTCTGCTGGATCTGCGGTGCCGGACGCGCCCTGCAGTTGCACATGCGGGACATGAACGCCACGCTGGCCGGCCGCAAGACCCCCCATAAAGCCATAACCCCCAAGAGCCCCAAGACCCTAAACCCTAAACCCCAAACCCTAAACCCTAAACACACCAACAGCCCCCCAAGAGCCCTAAGACCCTAAACCCTAAGCCCTAAGCCCTAAACCCTAAACCCTAAACCCTAAACCCTAAACCCTAAACCCTAAACACACCAACAGCCCCCCAAGAGCCCTAAGACCCTAAACCCTAAACCCTAAGCCCTAAACCCTAAAACCTAAACCCTAAACACACCAACAGCCCCCCAAGAGCCCTAAGACCCTAAACCCTAAACCCTAAGCCCTAAACCCTAAACCCTAAACCCTAAACACACCAACAGCCCCCCAAGAGCCCTAAGACCCTAAACCCTAAACCCTAAGCCCTAAACCCTAAACCCTAAACCCTAAACACACCAACAGCCCCCCAAGAGCCCTAAGACCCTAAGCCCTAAACCCTAAACCCTAAGCCCTAAACCCTAAACCCTAAACACACCAACAGCCCCCTA